CGTGCGTGTCCTTGCTGTGTGTGTGCATGCAGAGTGCACGTGTGCACTTGCAGTGCATGTGCACGCGTGTGCATACATGTAGTGAGCGTGCACACAGTGTGTGCAAGGACCGTGTGCGTGCACACGCAATGAGTGTGCATGCAGAGCGTGTGTGTCCTTGCTGTGTGTGTGCACGCAGAGCGTGAGCACGGGAGCGTGTGTGCAAGGACCGTGAGCGTGCACACACAATGAGCGTGCACGCAGAGCGCGCGTGTCCTTGCAGGGAGCGTGTGCTCATGCAGAGCGCACGCGTGCACGGGAGCGTGTGTGCAAGGACCGTGAGCGTGCACACACAATGAGCGTGCACGCAGAGCGTGCGTGTCCTTGCAGTGAGCGTATGTGCAAGCGCCATGTGCGTGCACACGCAATGAGTGCGCATGCAGAGCGTGTGTGTCCTTGCTGTGTGTGTGCACGCAGAGCGTGAGCACGGGAGCGTGTGTGCAAGGACCGTGAGCGTGCACACACAATGAGCGTGCACGCAGAGCGTGCGTGTCCTTGCAGTGAGCGTATGTGCAAGCGCCATGTGCGTGCACACGCAATGAGTGCGCATGCAGAGCGTGTGTGTCCTTGCTGTGTGTGTGCACGCAGAGCGTGAGCACGGGAGCGTGTGTGCAAGGACCGTGAGCGTGCACACACAATGAGCGTGCACGCAGAGCGTGCGTGTCCTTGCAGTGAGCGTATGTGCAAGCGCCATGTGCGTGCACACGCAATGAGTGCGCATGCAGAGCGTGTGTGTCCTTGCTGTGTGTGTGCACGCAGAGCGTGAGCACGGGAGCGTGTGTGCAAGGACCGTGAGCGTGCACACACAATGAGCGTGCACGCAGAGCGTGCGTGTCCTTGCAGTGAGCGTATGTGCAAGCGCCATGTGCGTGCACACGCAATGAGTGCGCATGCAGAGCGTGTGTGTCCTTGCTGTGTGTGTGCACGCAGAGCGTGAGCACGGGAGCGTGTGTGCAAGGACCGTGAGCGTGCACACACAATGAGCGTGCACGCAGAGCGTGCGTGTCCTTGCAGTGAGCGTATGTGCAAGCGCCATGTGCGTGCACACGCAATGAGTGCGCATGCAGAGCGTGTGTGTCCTTGCTGTGTGTGTGCACGCAGAGCGTGAGCACGGGAGCGTGTGTGCAAGGTCCGTGTGCGTGCACACACAATGAGCGTGCACGTGAGTGTGCATGACCTTGCAGGGAGCATGTGCACGCAGAGTGCACGCGTGCATGGGAGCGCGTGTGCAAGGACCGTGTGTGTGCACGTGCAATGAGCGGGCACGCAGAGCGCGCGTGTCCTTGCAGGGAGCGTGTGCTCATGCAGAGCGCACGCGTGCACGGGAGTGTGTGTGCAAGCACCGTGTGCATGCACAGGCAATGAGCGTGCACGCAGAGCGTGCGTGTCCTTGCAGTGAGCGTATGTGCAAGCCCCATGTGCGTGCACACGCAATGAGTGTGCACACAGAGAGTGCATGTCCTTGCAGGGAGCGTGTGCACGCAGAG